GGAAGAAAGAGGAAGAGGGAGAGAGAACAGGGGTGTTGCTTTATTGCCCAGGCTAAAATGCAGTCTAAAAATGGGTATGCCTGTAATTGTGTTTAATAATAGAGACATTAAAAAAAAATGAGGGAAGAAAATAATTAACAAGCAGCCAACCAATATTTCTTTTAAACCTGTAAATAGGTGTGATGTAGTACTGATAAGAGTGTATATTTTGTGTATTTAAGTGGAGAGTTCTATAAATGTTAATTAAGTCTACTTGTTCCGGATGTGAGTTCAAGTCCTGGATATCGATGTTAACTTTCTGTCTCATTGATCTAATATTGATGTTGAAGTCTCCCACTTTTATTGTGTGGGAGTCCAAGTCTCTTTATAAGTCTTATATATCTGAGTATTCCTGTATTGGGTGTGTATATATTTAGGATCTTTAGCTCTTCTTGTTGCATTGATCCTTTTATCATTATGTAATGTCCTTCTTTGCTTCTTTTGATCTTTGTTGCTTTAAAGTCTATTTTATCAGCAAAAATTGCAACTCCTGCTTTCTGTTTATTTATTTTTGCTCTCCATTTGGTTGGTAAATTTTTCTCCATCCCTTTGTTTTGAGTCTTTGTGTATCCTTGCATGTGAGATGGATCTGGATGTAGCATACCAATGGGTCTTGGCTTTTTTTGCCTGTCTGTGTCTTTGGATTGGGGGATTTAGTCGATTTAAATTTAGAATTAATAACAATATATGTGAGTTTGATACGGTCATCTAATGTTGGCTGGCTGTTTTGCCCATTAGTTGATGCAATTTCTTAATTATATTGATGTTCTTTATTTTTGGTATTTTTTAGAAAGGCTGATACTGGTTGTTCCTTTCTATTTGTAGTGGTTCTTTCAGAAGCTCTTGTAAAGCAGGCCTAGTGGTGATGAAATCTCTGAGTGCTTGCTTGTTCACAAAAGATTTTATTTTTCCTTCGCTTATGAAGCTTAGTTTGGCTGGATGTAAAATTCTGGGTTGAAAGTTCTTTTCTTTAAGGATGTCGAATATTGGCCCCCACTCTCTTCTGGCTTGTAGGGTTTGTGCTGAGAGATCTGCTGTGAGTCTGATAGGCTTCCCTTTATGGGTAACCTGACCTTTCTCTCTGGCTGCCCTCAGTATTTTCTCCTTCATTTCAACCCTGGTGAATCTGGCAATTATGTGCCTTGAGGTTGGTCTTCTTGAGGAATATCTTTGTGGTGTTCTCTGTATTACCTGGAGTTGAATATTGTCCTGCCTTGCTAGGTTGGGAAAGTTCTCCTGAATAATATCCCGAAGCGTATTTTCCAGCTTGGATTGATTCTCTTCGTCACATTCAGGTACACCTATCAAAAGTAGATTAGGTCTTTTCACATAGTCCCATATTTCTTGGAGACTTTGCTCGTTCTTTTTTATCCTTTTTTCTCTAATCTTGTCTTTTTGTTTTATTTCATTAAGTTGGTCTTTGACCTCTGATATCTTTTCTTCTGCTTGATCAATTCGGCTGTTAAAACTTGTGCATAGTTCGCGAAGTTCTCGTGTTGTTTTTCAGCTCCATTAATTCATTTATATTCCTCTCTAAGTTGTGTGTTATTGTTAACATTTCGTCAAACCTTTTTTCAGAGTTCTTAGTTTCTTTGCATTGGGTTAGAACAAGTTCTTTTAATTCCCAGAAGTTTCTTATCATCCACTTTTAAAAGTCAGCTTCTGCTAATGGAACACAGTCTTTCTCCATCAGACCTTGTTCCGTTGCTGATGAGGAACTGTGATCCCCTGTAGAGGGAGAGGCGTTCTGATTTTGGGTATTCTTAGCCTTTTTAGGCTGGTTTCTTCCCTTCGTTATAAATTTATCCATCTGTGGTCTTTATAATTACCGTCTTTATAGTTGGGTTTCTGAATGGACGTCCAATTTGTTGATTCCCGGCGCTAAAATCTGAGCAACCCACTGCGCCGGCAAAACAGCGGCGTTAAGATTGATGGTGCTTTTCTGACTCCCACCAAAGCAGTGGCAAAACCGCCTCGCCGGCCACAAGAGTCGCGCTGGCGACCTGTGGGGCCCCTCCGCTGGAAATCTTCTGGTGCATGAGTAACAAAAATTGATCTGAAAGTGTGGCGTCCTCTCGTTCTCTGCGCTTTCAGTGGGAGCTACAATCCCGAGCTGCTAGTGATCAGCCATCACGGATCTCTGTCCGAATATCTTTTCAGCACTCAGACCAGTCCTGTTCACCATAGCTTAGGTCTTATTTGAGTTCTTTCAACAGTGTTTTCAGTTTTCTGTGTTCAATTCTTATACTTTTAAAAATTTAATCCTAAGTAATTATTTTCAAAGTGATTATAAATGGAATTGTTTTCTTAACTCAACTTTTGGAATATTTATCACTAGTATAGAAAAATACCATTTTGTTTTATATATTGATCTTGCATCCTGCAGCCTTGCTGAATTCGTTTATTGTAATTGTTTTATGTGTATGTGGATTCCATAAGATTTTCTATATGCACAATCATGTCATCTGCAGTTAGAGATCATTTACTTCTTCCATTCCAATCTGGTTGTCTGTCTTTTTGCACCTAATTGTTCTAGCTAGAACTTCTAATACAGTCGTCCACCACATGATGCACATGATGGACTGCGTATATGACAGCGGTCCCATAAAACCGTAGTATCCTATTTTTACTATACCTTTTTCTATGTTCAGATACATAATTATTTACCATTGTGTTACAGTTGCCTGAAGTATTGAGTGCAGTAACACACTGTACAGGTGTGTAGCCTAGAAGCAGTAGGCTATGCCGTATAGCCTGGGTGTATAATAGGAGATACCATCTAGGTTTGCATAAGTACACTTTATGATGTTTGCACAATGACGAACTCTTCTAACAATACGTTTCTCAGAACGTATGTCTAACATGACCGTACATGTCGAATAGAAGAAATGAGAGTGAGAGTGAATGTTCTTACCTTGTTCCTGATCTTAGGGAGAAAGCTTTCATTGTTTCACCAGTAAGCGTGTTGTTAGCTGTAGGGTTTTGGTAGATGCTCTGTATTAGGCGGGAAAACTTTGTTCCATTCCTAGTTCATTGAGCGTTTTTATCATGAAAAAGGCGTTACATTTTGTCAAATGCTTCTCTGCATCTATTGAGATGATCATGTGATTTTTGTCCTTTATTAGCATGGTGTATGACATTTATTTTTGTATGTTTAATCAACTATATTCCTGGAGTAAATCCCACTTGGTCATAGTATGGAATCCTTCATCTGTGTTGCCTGATTATTACATCACAGGATCACAATGAGGCAGCCGGGTTCACGGCAGAACAGTAATACTGAAAACAGCAGAGCCAGAAACCTAGGACGTGGGAGTGTGGTGAAGCAGGCTGTAGTATATCACATATGATAGAAGTCCGTGTGGCATGTGTAGTGACAAGAATGTGACTCAGACCATTTCCTATTCAGAAATGATCCCACAGACATGTCAGGGAGTAACCGTGCATCCAGGAGAACAGGCATATACCGATTACCTATCACTGGATACAGCTGTGTATGTGCAAGTTAACAAAAACGACAGGAGCAGGTGGAGGACACATCCAGGAACTGGGAACCTGGGGTTGTGTCCCAGCCCTGCTGCTGTTTTCTCCAAGATCTTGGGCAAATTTTTTCTTATATCCCAACTTGAGTTTCCATGTTGTACAGTGAGGGGTTTGATACTTCGCTGCTTTGTATCACGCATGGCTTTGGTTTTGTTCTGTTCATTTAATATAATTTCTAGTAAATATAGTTTTAAAATGCAAACTTTGAGGCAGTGAGAGAGTGTGAGGAGTTTTTGGCCCCTTAGGGCGTATGACCAGTACTCCCTTCCCTCCGTATCAGCTAGAACTCGTGGTTGTATGCAGAGAATGTGGGGTTCCCAGCCAGGCTTGGGATACAGTGATTCCCATTTCCAGAGTTTGCTCTTTGCCACGCACTGTGTCCAGCTCAATGCTTCCCGTTTCCAGAGTTTACTCAGTAGCATGTACTGTGCTCACTGCTCCTTGCATTATCTCTTGTTAGTCCCACCAGCAAATGTGTAATGTCCATATGATTACCTTCCTTTTTTCAAATAATAACAATGAGACTTTGCAAGCATAGATGGTTGTCTAAGGAGGAGCCAGGATTTTAACCCAGGCCTGAGTCCCCATGGCCACATTCTGCTGTGACCCATCACACTCTAGTTCTCCTCTTGTTTATCAACAGGCCTCTTACCCTTCCAGGTAACACACTGTCCCCTTTGTGCCCACAGCTGACAATGAGAACAACATCGCCTCCAACCAGTCCCGGTCACCACCTGCCGTTGTAGAAGAGAAGTGGAAACCTCAGGCCCAGAGGAACAGCGCTAATAACAGTAGGTCTCCCCACGCAGGGCTGGACCTGAGGGGTCCCTTATGTTCCTCTCTGAGCCCCATTCCCACCAGGTGTGCTTCATGTGATGTCACAAGACGATGCATGATAATTTCCAAAGCACTTTTCCACCTAAGACCTTGTTTGCAGAAGTTCTTAACTCAGGGGATGGGCAGAAGGAGGCCCAGGGAGAGGAGGTGATTTTTTTTGCGGTCAGAAAGCACTAATTTGTGCCAGCATGAGAACTAGAACCCACCTCTCCACAATTTCTGCTGGCTGCTCTTTCCTGACATCATGATTCCACATTTTGTTTTTCCTGAAGGTTCCTGTATTAGAGGAAATTCCTATATTGAGGAAGAAATTAGACTAGTTAGCTTCAAAGGTCTAGGTAAATGACATATACTGCAATTATGTTGCATACATACCCACTACATTCTATTCCCATGCCCATGGCAGGCATTACTAATCAATCATAGAACTTTATCCCTGTGAAACCATCACATATTAAAGGCAGCCAGCACCACCAATGTGTCTGCAAGAGGAAATTGATTTCTCAATCCCAACACTAGATGCTTAGAGTATTAGGCTACTGCCACCCCAAGCAGCCTTGAATGCCACAGTTAATCCCGTCTCTCTTTGTATCCTCTGCCAGCCACCACCAGTGGTTTAACACCCAACAGCATGATCCCTGAGAAGGAGCGGCAGAACATCGCAGAGCGGCTGTTGAGGGTCATGTGTGCCGACCTGGGCGCACTCAGCGTGGTCAGCGGGAAGGAGTTCCTGAAGTTGGCCCAGACCTTAGTAGACAGTGGTGCCCGCTACGGGGCCTTCTCAGTCACTGAAATCCTGGGCAACTTCAACACACTGGCACTGAAGCACCTGCCACGGATGTACAACCAGGTGAAGGTGAAAGTGACCTGTGCCCTGGGTAGCAATGCCTGCCTAGGCATCGGTGTGACCTGCCACTCCCAGAGTGTTGGCCCTGACTCCTGCTACATCCTCACGGCCTACCAGGCTGAGGGTAACCATATCAAGAGCTATGTGCTGGGTGTGAAGGGTGCGGACATTCGTGACAGTGGTGACCTCGTGCACCACTGGGTGCAGAACGTGCTGTCAGAGTTCGTGATGTCAGAGATCAGGACAGTGTATGTGACGGATTGCCGGGTGAGCACGTCCGCCTTCTCCAAGGCCGGCATGTGCCTTCGCTGCTCGGCCTGTGCCTTGAACTCGGTGGTGCAGAGTGTGCTGAGCAAGCGGACGCTACAGGCCCGCAGCATGCACGAGGTCATCGAGCTGCTCAACGTGTGCGAGGACCTGGCGGGCTCCACAGGCCTGGCCAAGGAGACCTTCGGGTCACTGGAGGAGACGTCGCCACCGCCCTGCTGGAACTCGGTGACGGACTCACTGTTGCTGGTGCATGAGCGCTACGAGCAGATCTGCGAGTTCTACAGCCGGGCCAAGAAGATGAACCTCATCCAGAGCCTCAACAAGCACCTGCTCAGCAACCTGGCGGCCATCCTGACGCCGGTGAAGCAGGCGGTCATCGAGCTGAGCAACGAGAGCCAACCCACCCTGCAGCTGGTGCTGCCCACCTACGTCAGGCTGGAGAAGCTGTTCACAGCCAAGGCCAATGACGCGGGCACCGTCAGCAAGCTCTGCCACCTCTTCCTGGAGGCGCTCAAGGAGAACTTCAAGGTGCACCCGGCCCACAAGGTGGCCATGATCCTGGACCCGCAGCAGAAGCTGCGGCCCGTGCCGCCCTACCAGCACGAGGAGATCATCGGCAAGGTCTGCGAGCTCATCAACGAGGTGAAGGAGTCCTGGGCTGAGGAGGCCGACTTTGAGCCCGCCGCCAAGAAGCCCCGTTCTGCCGCGGGCGAGAACCCCACAGCTCAGGAAGACGATCGGCTGGGCAAAAATGAAGTGTACGATTACCTGCAGGAGCCCCTCTTCCAGGCTACCCCTGATCTCTTCCAGTACTGGTCATGCGTTACCCAAAAGCACACAAAACTCGCCAAGCTCGCCTTCTGGCTCCTGGCGGTTCCGGCCGTGGGCGCCAGAAGCGGGTGTGTAAATATGTGTGAACAAGCACTTCTAATCAAACGGAGGCGGCTGCTCAGTCCAGAAGATATGAATAAACTCATGTTTCTGAAATCCAACATGCTTTAAGACTTCGGGGAAAAAAAGAAGATAACATTAGAAAGAAACCACACAACACTGTCACAAACAAAAGGAATTTAAGTTCTAAACACTGTGGACCTCATTATAAATGCCCCCTGGAAACTTAAGTGCTTTTTTCCATATGTGTGTGTGTGTGCGTGTGAATACATGTGCTGTGGTTGTGAGGGTGTTGGGGGGTCTCTGTGCTCCTCTGCAGGGCCAGAGAAACTTCGCACACACATGCACACACACACACACACCACCCTGGTGCATGTACACGCCTGTTCTTGGACGGGTGTGCATTGAACTGGGCGTGTCAGGAAAGCTGAGCAATTGGGAAAGAGGGAGATGCTTCACCTCCTTTTCTCAGTATGGGGGCTTTAGAAGACTCCGTTTTCAGGTGTGCAGATTGGTAGAAAGCTGATGTTGTGAAATGTTCAGGCAGCTGAGATCTGAAGTGACTTGACGCTCTCTGTCCTTCACCCCGGTCCCCCTTTTCCCTCCTTAACCCTCCCCCCGCCCTCCCACCCTCCTGACCCCATCGTGCACCCCCTACCCCCTCAGCTGCTCTGCTGTGGACTCCCCCGCTGCATCAGATGGACGGTGTCTGCACTGGACTTTGTTTCTCGTTCACCTTCAGGGCATTGAGCTGCTGCCTTCGTGATACCCCTTGGGTGTCCCGGGCAGCCGCCTTAGAAACACACCTATCTATCTCCCCAAATCAGGAAAGGAGACTTTAAGAGTATAAAGCTGACATTTTGCTTTTTAATATAAGAGAGGAGAAAAAGACATTTTTCAGAGAAGTATAGATACTGTCTCCACTCCCTGATAATTTCTCTCCCTAACATTTTAGCAGTTTTTACCTTGTTTGGGGGTTGATTTTGTTTCTTCAAATTTGATTTAGACTCTGCTAGAAGGCACTGAATGTCTGTAACTTATGTTTTGGAGTTTGGGTTTTCTGCTTGCCCCTTTCCTTCCTCAAGTCACACTGTAAACTAGCTCATCTCAGTGGTATACTCAGTGTCCTACGGTCTTTCTTGGCCTTCCCTGTACAGTTTGGTTTTCACGTATTTGAACAGCCAGGACCAGGTTCTTGGTTGTGCTATTTGGAGACCAGGGGTTGGGGAGGAGTTGCGGGTTCCACAGCTGTGGGGTTTGGTGGCCGTAGGGGAAGCAGTGGTTCAGGAGTTCTGAATGTAAGCACCAGAGCTGCCCTCTTGGTCCGCCGTGCATGGTACCCATTGTGCGTCACTACTCATCACTTCCCCAACCCTGGCGGTCCACCGGGACTCCAAAGTCGACCCATAGTCACATCCACCCTCCCCACCCCCAGACCTGCCACAGCCTCGCCTCCCTTCCCAGGACCCCGGGGCTTCCGGGAGTTCTGCTGCCCACAGCCCTCGGGGTCACCACTCACACCTGTGACTTCCTTCCAGGACGGCGGTGAGCATGGTGCCTTGTGGCCCATACAGTTGATGTTCCGAGGGTGGGATGGCGTTCAGCCATGTTCGACTCAATGCTGTGAAAGATGTCTTCAGGCTTTTCTCTCCTGTTCTTCCAGCCGTGAGCAAATTCGGTTCTACACACACAGTTCAGATGCCAAGGGTGACACCCCATTCCCTTCACAAGAGGTGGTTCTGTCACAGATCACCCCCACTGCACCTCTCAGTGAATAAAGTGTTGGTGGTCACACTCCCCCAGTGACCCTTAGCATGGGATGGGGTGGTTACACTAGGGCTTCAGGCTGAGAATGGCCATCATGTTGGGAGGCTGTTCGCAAAGGCACCTTCTATCACCCTGGGGTTGGCGAGGTCCACTCCACCCCTTCCCAGTAATAAAGCATTACTCAACTGTGAGATACCTCGACTACAGAAAGCACTGTACCGCAGCCCTCTCCCCCTGGGTCCGTGATGGGAGCAGGGAGGAAAGTTGATTGCAAACCTCAAGAATGCTTAGGACCATGGACTTGGAACAGTGGTGTTTGGAAGCCAAGCCTGCACACTTTGCCTCATGAGAACTCACCTGCTCTCCCCTCGAGTCTTGGACACACTGAAATCAAAGTGGATCAAAGTGGACCATTTCCACTTTTGTTCCAGCAAGCCATGGTCTCAGGAACTACCGTGCCATTTCCACTCCTGGAGAAGTTCTAGGTGTTTCCTCCCCAATGTTTCTACCTGGGGGGCCGGGCCCACCATCAGAGAAGAGGTTTCGTCCACCCTGGAGCAGGAAGGGAGAGAAATCCAGACAGGAACCTCATGTCACTCCCTAGGGAGTATGGAAAGAAACATCAGTAGACTACTCAGTTGGGCCTTTGGAGGCATTCTGGAACGTGGCTTCAGTGTCACTGATGATTGACAGATGCCTACAGCAAAAGGTCCCTCTAGCCTTGCTTGACTACTGGGGAAGGGACAGTGGCCTGGCAATGTGAGAGCAGAGCCTTGGAACCCATCCTCCCTCTACTTGGAGCAAAGTTGTGCTGGTGGTGCCCCATTATTGGGCCAGTTGATTAGAAAATAGGCATTTCACTTTCCTGCAAAGCCATCAGACTAAGCCCAGTGTGCATTTAGGGCACTCAGCATTCTCCTCTTTGAAGCATGGGACGTCTGCCCTCCAGGAAGAGAATTGATCACAGATTGTACCTCCCTTTCCGTTCTTTTCCACCTCAATTCAGTACTTAGGGGTTGGCTTGCCTCTGCAGGTTTGCTTTGAATGCCACTAGGTACTCAGAAAGCTGTCCTCTGGGGCTGCCTTGTCTAGTTAGATAACAAGGTAGCAGGTGATCATTGCTCTCTTGCAACCTCTGGTTCCCTCCGGAAACTGGTGTCACCAACAGGAAAGGCTGTACCAAGGTGCCCTCTCAGTCTGCCTTCTCAGACTGTTCTCAGAGTGCAAATCCTGCTGCAACTAGCAGCTTCATAAAACCCAAAGATCTCACAGGCCCCGCCACTGGCCCACTTGTCTCCAGCAATATCCACCTCACCTAATTCTAGTTCAGCCAAAGGATCGAGACAGGCTCTTCCAGTTCATCTCCCGGTGTCCGGCCTGACCTTCACTTCTGGAAGGATTTTGTCATCTGCCTCCCCATTCTGGGGCCACTGTAGGCCTTTCCATCATAGGCCTTTGGGGGAACTGGGACCAGGAAGTTGAGCCATTTCTACCATATTCTCAGCAGCCCAAGGTGGTAGCCTGCTGATTTGGACACAACTCGCCTCAAGCCCTGTGGTCCCCAGAACAGAAATGGCCTTTGTTTTGACATAACGTGGACCCAAGAGGAGAGGTGGAGGAAATACATAAAACACCTCCACCTGGCAAGTTTTTTGTCCTCATCGGAGGTCAGTTTGCATCACCAACAAAGCCCAAGCCAAGAACCACAACACTGTGGGTGGTTCCTCGGAGTGGACTAGCCCAAGGAATCTCAGGTCCACCAGGAGCAGTGGTGCCATTGGGCCCCGGGTGGATGCCCTTGTTCTGGCCCAGTTCTCCGCTTCCCAATGCCCGGCTCAGCCAGCCAAGCCTCCCTCTAATGGCATTTAGTAACCAGGAAGCAAAACGGATGCCACCTGGGTGAAACTGCCTGCACTTCATCTCCGGGGGCTCGCTGCACAGAGGCCACCTGCCACATCACCCGTGAGCAAGCTTTGCCACCCTCCTGCTTGGTGGTGTCACACTTGACATCTGGGGATTGGGTTTTGGCTGGAAAAGGGTACCAGGGTTTCCTGGCAAGGACAGGAGGGCAGTGCAGCGACACAGATGAGAAGCCGTAAGTCTCCAGGATTTGAGGAAGCCACCAGGTGTGTAGGCTGACAAGAGTCTTCTCTTTCTGTCTGACCCTTTATCTCCTGCACTTTCAAAGAACACCAGAGAAAAATCCTATAAGGCGTGTTTCCACTGTGAAGCTGAACCTCTGCCTTTAGGAGTCCCCTAGTTTTGAGCAAGGCCCCTTGCTTCCCCTTGAACTTGAGCTGGACTCCTTGAAGAGTGGGCACCTGGAGAGGTGTCAGGGATACTGCTCATGCTCTCTGGGGGGCCTCAGGGTCGTCGGGAAGCTTTGAAATGAAGATGAGAAGTGGTTGGAGCAGGCTGTGGGATGGCTCCATTGGGGTCACTCCCCTCATCTTGTCATCACAATGGATGTGCTGGAAGAGGAGGCATCCCAGTGAGCCGACCTAGTCCATAGCTTTGCCCTCGCCTTGGGAACAGTGGCAATGCCTCCATCTCTGGGATGCATCTTAAGGAGGGCTCCTAACAAGGCCTATGATTTAGATAGAACCGAGAGACTAAGTAAGGTCCAGCCATCCCCTGGGGCCAGTAGGTGGGAGCTCCTGTCCCCACCAGTCCTGCTGTAGCCCCTGTGTCCAGCTGGGCCAGTGGGAGAACTGGGTAGGAGGCTGCCCTCTCTTCACTGTGGCTAATGTTTGCTAGGCCAGTTATGGTGAACCAATGATACAGTGTTTTCCCTCTTATGTTTCCCTCCTAGTTCCGCCTTTTCAGGGTTTTCTGGGGGATTTTGTCATGGTAGTTGTTTTTCTTCCTCTCTCTTTTGGGTTTGAGGATTGTGGTTGGGGGAGCCCTGGCTTTCCCCAAAGGAGCCCGGTGGTTTCTGTGGAAGAGGCGCCCAATCCCACTTTAACGAGGGTGAAGATTGTCAGGTCACTGTTTGACGTATTCATGCCCCCTCACCCCCACCACCACGGGTGTCGCTTTAAAGAGTCAGCTCTTGTACAGAGAAGGATTTGCTAGGTTTGCAGTTGGGCATTAGCATCACCACTCGCGAGGGCCGTGCCCAACCATGCATCCTGTGGGGCACCTTGACTCTTCAAACCAAAATTCCTTAAAGGGGCACAGCCCAGCCTTGTCCGCAACCTCAGGGGCCTGGGATTCCTGTGACGCTTCCTGAATTCCAGGTTGGCACAGATGATGAGGTCTGAGACCAGCCAGAAGGAGGGGCTCTTCCCACAACCCAGGTGCCAGCGGGTCTCCGCCTAGGACCTTCCCTCCCACCCAGCCGGGGTGGGCGGCATCCCACGTGGTGAAACGAGCTCGTGGACTGACCCAGGCTGAGCCTCGCCAGCCAGGAGAGAGCGAGGGCCGCACGGGGGGCTGGCCCAGGCAGCTCTTCCAGGGCCATTCAGATCCCAAGCATCAGGAAATCATTTTGTACAACCACCCGAAGCAGAGATATTTTTTAAAAACGCGTAAATTATTTTCAGTTGTTTTCTGATCCTGCCTTTTTCTTTTCCCCACCACTTTTCACATCAGTGATTTGTTCACATCAGGTAAATCTTGAGAAAGCCTTGGTGCCCTCCTCCCCACCCCCACTCTAACCACGTGTGTACATCACCCCCGTCCTTTCTCAGTAGTTAAGACGTTCTAGGCAATACCATAGACACATCTGACTGTGTCTCTCTCTTCGAGTGCAAGAAACTCAAATCATCTTAAAAAAAAAAAAAAAAATTTACAAAAAAACAAACACACAAAAAAATATCTTTTTTAGGCCAGAGTTTTCTACAGGTATTAATGAATATTTTTCTTAATCCTCATAAGTTTGATGTGTTTAATATTTCTTAATACCGGTAGCATTAATTTATACTTTTGTAGCAATACAATATTTTTATAAACAGCCGGTGCTTGGCTCAAGTCTTCACGAGGGGTTTATGCAGGGCCATCTTGGGGACCCTGTGTACCATGTACTGTATTTAAAAAAAAAAAAGTTACCTAGTGTCACACTTGCTGTGTTAATTAACAAAAGACGTTGTGTGCGGTCTCCTGTATCGGTGTGGATCCAGCAGCTCTCCAAGGAGTCACATTGCATGGGGGTTGAGTTGACGGTTCTTGTTGTGATCTGTAAACCCCCGAGACCAAACTGGAGGGTTTATTTAGGGTTTTCTGTTTGTCTTTTGGGTTTTTGTTTCAGTTTGTTTTGGTGCCGTTTCTCCATTTACAGCCAAATCAGTTTCATGATGTTCAAAACTTTTGCTGATGTCAAATGGAGGAAAGGAACAGAAAAAAAAAAAAAGATTTTTACAAAGTAATAAAATTTAAAACTCAGCTGTTTAATGTTGCTGTTTTTACCTGTCTGTTCTTGTCCAAAAGTGGAACATTCCCAAGGAGAAGAGGAAGCTTCCACTCGGTTCCTTAAGTCGCCAAAAGCCCCAGCCCAGGATTCAGTACCTCCCTTGCCCCCTGAATTCTTGCAGCACTATTTCCCAGTTGGTTGATGCCAAGGCAAAAAGATACCTTTTAACGGTTAGAGAGGATCAGTTGCTTAAATGATTTCATGTCAGTGTTGTATTTATGGTTTTACAATAAAACAACCTTTAGGAAGATGCAGTGTGTGGCGTTTCTTTCTTGCGTTCGGGGTTGGGTCATACTGTCCAGTTAGGAGCAGAGCACCTGAGGGAGGGCACAGGTGAGTGGTGATGGGCCAGAGGCAGGGCGCCTGGGGCGACAACGCACATCTGTGTCAGCAGGACACTGTGTGATACTGGTATCGTTGACTTACGCATGGCGATACTGGTATTAGTGACTTACCTGTGAGCTCACAGCTCATCTCTTGCACTGGACCTGGATCAGTTATTTGATAAATGAGGGTGGGACATAGTCGAGGAAGATGTGGCCCTTCTGGGCTTGTGGAGCGTTGTCCCATGGAAGACGGGGTGGATTTAGTCTCTGTCCTCCAGGCCTAATGCCTAAGGCATATGTGCAGGTTGGCCCAGCGCTGCAGTCATCTTCGAGGCTCCCTAGCCCCTTTACTTAGTGGCTTTGGCCCCCTAAGTAGTGTGTGTGATGTTAACAACTGTTGTGTGTATCATCCTGTGCTGCGAAAGAGTGTCCATGGCTTTTGCCAAATTCCTGATGGCATGAGGGACTCTGAGCAAATTAGGAATCATTGGCCTCCATCATGAGCTGCTAGAGGCCAGCCCTGGTGGGCTTGCCAAGCCTGATGTAGTTCAGATGTGTAGACCCCAGTGCTCTCCTGGAATAGAAGCAAACCAGAGGCAAGTCAGGGGAGAAGAGAGACCACCAGCAGGCCAGCTGGGGCCTGAGCAGGAGGGAGTGACCACTCCTCCTAGGGGGCCTACCGCTGGAACAGCCCCTTATGAGGTGAAACTGCCATTCTGCCATCCAGATGAGTGAGTGACAGACACCCCAGGCCACGGCTTGACACCATCCTTACCAGGTGTGGGCAACTCTGCTTCAAAGTGGAGGATGTGTTGCTTGATCACCTGAAAAAATCCATCAAACCGCACGAAGAGGCTATTGGAGCACCAGCCCCGCCCTCAAACCATCGTGCCTTGGGAGTTTCATGCTACGTGGACTATGTGGGCGTTCTGAGCTGACGGTTGAAGTTTAACAGAGGAGTTTCTATGTACCCTGCAATGAAAAGTCAGGAGTCCTGCTGTGGCTGAAAGAGGCCTCCTCCATGCTTTGAACATCGCAGTCAAATAAGGCCAGGGCATGGCCCCGGAGTCCTCACAGCTAAAGGAGCAGCCTCTGGATTTAAAAAATAAAAGCTTTAAAAAGCGAAAAAATAAAGAGGTCTCTTTATTAAGCAGCTACAGCTACATTTATTTTGTAATGGAAATAAATGAGTGTGCCCAGCACCTTTGAAAGAGAAATTTGAGGTGAGACTATTTAAGAATGGAGTGAATCTTCAAGGTAGGGGTGTCCACTGTGCTGAGAAAGGTTCCTGGAGCCTTCTGAGATGAGTGTTATGAATTCCTCCGACTCGGGGTCACAAGGTACTGCACCCCCATCCCACCCCTCGGTTAAAAGCTAGGGTACATTGATTTTTAAATTTATTTTTAGTGAAAAGTTGTAGCAAGTGTCACAGAGTCAAAAGCCTCCGGACCAGGCAGGCGGGCGAGCAGAGCTCGTTAACACAAGGCGAGGCCCTTCAGGGGGCAGCTCTGCGAAGCTCCAGCTCATCGCTGGCATCAGGATGCCAATTATTTTCAAGAGAACTGAGAAACCCAGATTTTTAGGTGGAAACTCAGTTTTCAAGTGACAGATTCAGAGCTGTGAAAAAATACATCAGCCAGACTTGGGAGCTCATGTCTGTAATCCCAAGACTGTGAAACCAAGGTGGGAGGATTACTTAAGTTCAGGCGTTCAACACCAGCCTGGGCCACGTGGCAAAACCTGTCTCAACAACAACAAAAATACCAAAATTAGCCGGGTATGGTGGCATGCACCTGTAGTCCCAGCTACTCAGGAGGCTGAGGTGGGAGGATCGCTTGAGCCCAGGAAGTCAAGGATTCAGTGAGCCAAGATCATGGCACTGCACTCCAGCCTGGGAGACAGAGCGCAACCCTGTCTCGAAAACATAAAAAAATACCTTGTGAGCACCATGTCCACCCAGCAGCCGAAGCTGGCCTGTACCCCTGCAGCTTGCACCCTCCAATTTAAGCATTTGTCTTTCAGTTCAAGTCACTTCCAACTATCGCTCTTCAGCATGGCTCCTTTGAACTGTCATGGCTGGCCGGCCTGGCATGGGAGGCACATGTGGAAGGAACAGGATGTGGACACAGGATGGGAGCACCTTAGTCAGTCCCAGGCCGGAGGGCCTCTCACTTCTCCTAGACAATTGCCTGTCTCCCTACACCTGACCCCACCTCCTTCCAGCCAGAAAGTCCTGGCTGTGACCGCAGATGCTGACCCTCAGGGCAGTCTTCTCTGTTGGAACCTGGAAACCCCATGCTTTGATGTTGGGGGAGACAAAGGGAGGGTCTTGGTGTATCTGGCCCAGGGGACTGCAAAGCTTTCTACCCCCAGTCCTTGTCTCCAGCTTCATTCCCTCAAGCAGAACTGTGGAATCCCTCCTTTCCTGGCTGGTCTCTTAAGCAAATGAGCACAAAAGATGAACCCGGGACTGGACTGGCCATCAGCCCTTAGGATGCTGGTCACCCACAGAGGGGAGGAGGTAGGTCCCTGCCTGGGTTTCTCTGCTGGGGTCAGCTCTTCACATCAGAGCCCACGAAGCTGGGGCTTCCAATTCCTCTACGGCCGCAGCTGCCGCCGGGGCTCTGGGTGAATGCAGGTAGCAAGAGGTATTTATAAATCAGATGTTTATAAAGCCTGTGTGTCTACACTGGAGGCTCTTGGAGTCCTGCTCTTGGGCCAGGCGTGTCCTGAGCTGCTCTGGACAGCCCATCTAGTCCCTTTCCTAAGAATGAGGAGAAGCCAGGCCAGACCGAGGGCTGAGAAAGATTCCTGGCACCTTTTGAGATGAGCATTGTGAATTTATTTTTAGTGAAAAGTTGTAGCAAGTGTCATAGTCAAATGCCTGGACACAATGCCGTTGCCCTGGTCACAATGCGAAGGCCAGTGAGCACTCTCCTTCCAAGACAAAGGCCCAGGGGAAGGTCCCAGGGGATGGGGTCCCCAAAACCATGAAAAGAAACACCTGAGGCTTTCCAGTTCCAGGCAGCTGGTTCTGGGGATGTGGCTGCAGCTGATGTAAAACCTTGGGGAGGTGTTTGGTGTGGCAAAGCACAGGGGACTCATTTCATGCACTTGTGGGCTGTCTGCTCTGAGCTGCCTGGGTACTGCAGAGCACAATTATTCCCTCTGAGCCTGGGTCACTGATGACCCATCAAACCTCTCCCAGAAACAAGTTCCCAGAGCTGCTTCCTCCTTTCTTTCCTAACCTTATTAAAACAAAACAAAATCATTCCATTTTACACTATTGTAAATAGAGCTGTGATTTGTTTCATAATATGCGTAGCCAATGTCATGTACTGAAGATAGTTCTATTGCGTTTCCAATGGAGTTTTCATATCTAGGGAAAGCTGGGGTTGCAGATCGCCCCACCCTGGCCTTTTCTCCCCTCTGCCTCCCGGTTACACTTGTGATGACAATGAACAATGAGGACACAGAATTTCAGGGGTTCACAATTTAGGTTTTATTTGGACCCAGGTTGCTTGGTGTGGCCTGCCGCAGGACCCCGGGAGAGACACTGGCCATCCTCTGACTTTAGACCGGCCAGTTGTTAGTTGGAGAAGCGCAGCAGCTCCTCGTCCCCTGTGGACAGAGAGAGACTCAGGGAAGGGTCCGTGGGCAGGGACATTCAGGGGAGGGAAGACAGCTGTCACCCGGGGCCAGTATCATCTCCTTGCTGAATGATTGATCTCCAAAGGGCATTCCACAAAATGATTGGAGCTTTTTCCTCTTCTGATTTACCGCAGGTGCCATTTTCCAGCGGGAAAATCAAGGCACAGACACCCTGAATGGTGCTGTTTCCTGGAATGCTATTACTGCCATCGTTGTTATTAGTAGTAGCAGTTGCCATTAGCTGAGTACTAACTCCACGTCAGGTACTGGAAGGCTGAAGGCAGATGCTTTGTCCCATGTTACAGAGGAAACTGATACTCGTTGGCACTTGCTCAACATTGCAGGCGCAGAAGTAAAGCCCAGCTCTGCCCCGCTCCTCAGCCAGCCCTACATACCCTCTGCAGATGCCTGACTAGTACCTCCCCAGGGCCCAATTCTAGCTGGGGTAAGTCCTCTGGCTCGATCCCATTTCAGAGAGTAGATGGGCTGCTTACCGGGTAGAGAGTCCTGAACTCAGCTCTCCAGACCCCTGCTCCTCCCAGGGCCTTCCCCCCTGGACTCCCACAGCCCCTCGCCCCAGCCTGGTACCCCGCAGGGCTGCCTACCATCACCAGGAACACCGCAGTACTCTCTGCACTCCTTCTCTGAGTAGAACTTGTTCCCGTTGCCTTGGCAGCCCCCGTAGATGAATTGGACACACTTTCCCTGGACAGCATCAAATGCCCAGAGCTCGTTGAAGGCTCGGCAGGGGCCCCGTACTATGGGGAGATTGCAGGCCGCTGTGGAGTGGGGAGAGGCATGGAACATGAGAAACCCTTGCGACTGCTGATCAGACATACATGGGACTGCTGAGCCAGAGCTGCTCGTCTAGAACACCTCATCCCTCTTTGACAGATGGGGAAACTGATGCCCACAGAAAGAAAATGATTTGCCTGAAGTCTTCCACATCCAAATGTGGAATTCCTATGATTTCGGGAAACCACCTGGAGTTCTACTCCTGGAGTGCCCTCTCTTAGCTACCTTTTCAATTAGCAGGTGGTTTACTGGAGGGACAGGGTCTTGAGGGTGCTGAGTGCACCGGGGTGGGGGCCCGCACTCACCCACAGTCCGGCAGGTCTGCAGACACTCCTTCTCTGTGATGAAGTTGTTAGCGTTGCCCATGCAGCCGCCATACTGGAAAGTCTCACAGGCCATGGATGTGCCGTTATAGAAATACCTGTAGCTCATTCCCATGCAGGGGCCTGCCGAGGGGCCCAGCTGGCAGGAATCTAGGGA